GGGATGCAGGTTTTGACTGAAGCATTGGCAAAACTCAGTCCAAAGCTGTGAAACCATCCCATAACTTCACATCAACACTGTTGGGACCTTGCGGTCTCCCACATCATGGAAAGAAAGATAGGACCCATAGCATCATACAGTGGTGAAGGAGGGGAAAGGAGTCAGCTTGCAACACAAGCCATGTCCTTGATATCTTTGACACAAAGCATAGGTTAGCCCCATGGGGTTGGTTCTTGGGCATCCTTTTGCCCAGACTATGGAGAGATGCACTTTCACACCACCACAACAGCCTGGGGCTGTGGGAAGACCACCTCCAGCTCCTCCTAGCTCCTTCTGCAGGGGGGATTTAGCAGCCAGGGGCAACCAGTCAATCCTAGACCTACTGGCCTGTTGCCATTCAACCTCTCCCTCCATGCTACCTACAAGACAGGTCCTCCAGCGTACACCCCAGCCTTCCCAAAGTGACCAAGAGGTGCCAGTTCCACCTTCATTAGGATATCAGGACTGTAACTATCCTATGAAAGCCTGGGAGTGTTCTTTGGTGAGGTGCTCAGCTGGTCCAGCTCAGCCCACGCATGTCATACTCCCAAACCAGGCAGCAAGATGCAAAGTGCTTTGTGGTAATTGCCTGTCCCACGCTGGGTCTTAGTCCTTGCCCAGGGATGGTCCTAATAATTTAAACAGCCTGGGAAGGTCCTGGGCACTGCTTACCAGCACCAGTGTGACCCAGGGGACACCACCAAAACACAGCCTGGATATAAGCCGTGCTACGCCACAACCAGAGCAAACTCCTGCTGAGCAGGTTGTGCATTAACCACCTGGGTGGTGCATTTGGAGCTGGGTCAGGGCAGGGAGAGGGTGAGGTGGTCCCGGGACCGATGGGTTTTGTGCAATCACCAGTGGGTCTGTGCAGCAGGCACAACCCCAATAGCCTCTCCCCATCCCTAAGCGCTTCCAGATGTACCCCTCAATATGAAAGGGCTGTGGAGCAAAGGGGTGGGGGGCTGCATAGCGTAGCACAGGAGGGGAAAGACCCCCACCGCCCACCCCAGCTCACTGCTAGGTGACCCAAGCTAAATTAAGCAGCAGCTAGAAATTACCGAGACGCTAATCCGTGCTGCAGGAGCCGAGCTGGCACGGGGCTGCTGGGCATTTCTGTCAGGTCTGCGGTCATGTCGTCTCCCTCCCACTCCCATCCAGCCCAGCCCCTTTCCCCACGTTTGCTCCGGGCGCTGGAAGCGGGCACGCTGCCATGTAAACCTGGCGGGGGGTACCCCCCCCCCCCAACCCATCCCACCTCCCCGCACCCCATTGCAACCCCTACGGCAACCCCCACTGCTCAGCCCATCCGGAGCATCCTCAGCTCTCAAAAGCCTCGTTTCCCCCCCCCCTCCCCTCTAGGGTGCAGCTTGCCACCCCCCCCACCCCCCCTCCGCCTTACCTTAGCGGGGCATGGCCGGGGCCGGGGGAGGGGGACCGGGGCGCTGGTGCCCGGCGCGGAGCCGCTGCCTCCGGCACCGAGCGAGGGCAGCGGCTGCCCTGCCCGCCGCTGAGCCTCTTAACGGGGGAGGAGCCGGGATACAGCCAGCCCCTGGGGAGGGGAGGGGGTGCTGGGGGGTGTGGAGGGGTGCGAGGGTGGGTGTGTGATACCTCCAGCCCGGGGGCGCGGCCAGCACCGCGCTCCCCAAAGCAGCCCCAACACCCCCAGAGATGCATCCCCCTGCATTCCTGGGGTCTGCCCCAGACCGTGGTACCCGGGACGAGCCCTGCTACGAGTTAAGCTGCATTTTCAAGTCATAGAATCACTGAATGGTTTGGGTTGAAAGGGTCCTTAAAGCCCACCCAGTGCCACCCCCTGCCCCGGGCAGGGCCCCCTTCCCCCAGCCCAGGGTGCTCCCAGCCCCGTCCAACCTGCCCTTGAACCCTTCCAGGGAGGGGGCAGCCACAGCTGCTCTGGGCACCCTGGGCCAGCGTCTCACCCCCTGCACAGGGAAGAATTTCTGCCTTAGATCTCATCTAAATCTGCCCTCGGTCAGTTTAAAACCGTCACCCCTCATCCTACCCCCACCCCCTGATCCAGAGTCCCTCCCCACCTCTCCTGTCCCCCCTTTAAGCCCTGGGAGGTCGCTCGAAGGTCTCCCCGGAGCCTTCTCTTCTCCAGGCTGAATCCCCCCAACTCTCTCAGCCTGACCTCCCAGGGGAGCTGCTCCAGTCCCCCGAGCATCTTCGTGGCCTCCTCTGGCCCCGCTCGAGCAGGCCCATGTCCTTCTTTATTCTGGGGGATAGCTGGGAGGATCTCTGCCCCATGCAAAGCTGTGTCTTGGCTGTGCAAGGGATGATATTGAGGTCCTGTGGGATGGGGCCACAAGCTGACAGGCATTCTGGTTTGAACGCACCAACCAGCACTTATAAATGTGGAAACTGGGGGAAATGCTTGAGAACCGGGAAACTCAGAGCTGAGGCATTGCCTAGAAGCTTAACTCTGACCTGGTGAGTCCCTCCCTGAATCTGGGCTAGTGCCTTTTCTCCTTCCTGCTGGGAAAGGTGAGGTTGACTTTTAATTGTGCTGTGAAACACCACTGAAGTTTCTTACTTAGGTATAAAGCATGGCATTTTAGCTAGTAAATGATGCAAAACATGCCTTTATATTTGCACTCTTATCACACAAGGTGTTTCTAAGCCCCACTGTGGACAAGGGGGCCTGAACCCCTCCTGGGGACTGGGATGGCTGAATATTTTTGGTGACACTGCAGAAGTAAGGAGCAGTAAGAGAAAGCTTCCTTCTTCCAAAGCCACACCAGGAACTCTGCTCAAAATGTGGGAGAAGTCACTTCATAGCCACCTTGTTTCTTTCTCAGCCCTTCAAAACTCCCCACGGCTGCCCAGCCCTCTCGTGGGAACCAGCTGTGAAAAAACTCAGTTGAATTTAAGCTCAAGAGAGATGATTTACGACCGCCTGGGGCCGTGCCAGGTTTCACTCAAGCCCTACTCGCTGTGCCAATGCGGTTTGTGTGGATGCGAGGGCAGATATTGGCTGTGCCTGGGAATTGCTTCACTCTGGACTGCATCCGATGTGCCTGGAAAGTGTCCAGCCTCGGGTAGCCTCTTCTTGTGGCCAGTGTCCTGCGGGTGTGTGGGAAGGCAGTGAGGGAGGCTCTGCCAGGGACACGGGGCTGGACACAGTCCTCTGCCTGTGTTGCTGTCTTTGGAAGTGGGATTTGAAAAGTGCGAGGAGCCTTTGGATGACTCCTGCTCAGCAGACTGTCACGGCTGTGGGTCGCGGGCTAATCCCTCAGTATTCAATACCTGGGACACTGGACAAGGATGTGGTAGCACCTGAGCACCTCCGAGGGACAGGCAATGAACCCTTGATGAAAGCCCTGCTACCACTGTAGCCCTTCTTGCTAGTAATATCCCTGGTCCTTTTGAGCAGCAGGAGGCTCATATGCATATGGAGGGGAATGTACACAGGCATTAGGGTGGGAAGCTGCAGGCTGTAGGGAAGCCAGTGCCAAGGAGAAATATTCCAGCCTCACCTTGTAACCACGGCAGGATGTCTGTTCTTCCATGAAGATGCTCTTGCATGTCAAAAGCAGACCCTGAAGTGTTGGTTTAGTGAGTTTAATGTTAGTGACCAGAAGTCCCTGGCAGATGGCAGCGCTGGAGGGATGAGGAGATACTGCAGGTTTCTGGGCTGGATCCTGCTTGGAGCTGTGCACCCTGCTACCTGCTTGCTGGTCTCTGAAAGTGCACAAGCTCCTCACATCCTCACGCTGATGTGCTGGAGTCCCACACCACTTCCAGCATCCTTCCTTGCATTGCCAGCCCACACGCCAGTGTGCACCACCAGCACTGGGACAGGCAGGGCTGCAAAGCCACCTTCACTTCCAAGCCCCCTGTCCCAGTCTCAGCAAAACTGAGATGTGGATGCTGTTGGGGAAGCATGACCTCCATGCCTACACAGTGAGTTGTGGCTTATCCAGGCTTGCATAGACCTTTTCTTTGAATGTGCACAAAGCAGGACTCGGTAAAGCCACCTGATGTACACCAAAGCTCTTGTGCTATATCCTGCAACGACAGCCCCATAGGTGCTCATGCACCTATGTCTACTGCCCAGGACATCCTCCGGGATTGTATTAGGATGTTTATGAGGTTGAGATGTTTGTAAGGGTCCCCCCTGAAGAATGGTCCTTGCAAGCTTTTTCAGTGATGGAGGCAGAGGAATAGGATGCTCCTTTCTCTGTCTAGGGTTTGGTGACACACTTTGTCCCAGAGGATGATCCCAGGAGCAGGATGATCTGGACCAGTGCCCCACCCCACAATGTAAAAGGTTTTTCCAGATGCCTGCTCCAGGCTTTTGAGGACAGGCTGCAGAAGGGCACAGCTCCTCCATGCTACAAAGACCCCAAGCACAGGCAGGTAATGGAGCTGGCGGCTGGAATCTGAGATGGGAGCAAGACCCTTGGGACCGTGTGTCCCAAGACTGAGGGCAGAGACAGGCTTTTTGCTTTTCAGATGCTCCCAACATGCAATCTACATTTTTATTCTTTGAGGGAAAGCCGTCCAAAAATCACATCCTCCCATATTTTATAATGATTATTATAAATTATTATTATAATATATTATTATAAATTATTATTGTTATTGTTATTGCTATTATTGTTATTATTATTACTTTTTAGCAACCTTCAGAGCTTTTTCTGATGCAGGTGAAGCTCAAAAGAATCCAGTCCCCTGCACTGTGGTGACTCCAAGGCACAGGATGCAAAGGTTTTACAGTCAGAGGAGGTTACCCTTTTCCTCTGCAGCTTTTCTAGGTGAACGTGAGTGTAGCCTTGCATGAAACCTTCATGCAGATTGCCTTGCTTCAGTCTCAAAGTCCACAGAGAAAATAATTTGAATGGAGTTGAGTGAATCAAGCAAATTAAAAAGGCTCTGCAGAGCCACCTTGTGCCCATCAAAAGCATTCTGAAAGAACACAGCGGTTTAAAGGCAGGGAGTCTGAATAAAATATACACAATTTATTTATAGGAGGTTTACAGCTGTACAATATTGGCTTTCTGTTTGGACCACTCTCCAATCTTGTGCAGCTTGACACGTCAGTGCCTTTGGAGATGAGGACAAGTCCTAGCCTGTTTTAACGTGAAGACACGAAAAAGAAACGGATTTCACAGAGTCTAATGGCAGGTTACTTGCAACCATTGAAATGATTAACAAAAGAAATGGAAAATAAATCAGAGACATGTCCTACAGCACCTGGGAGGGACTGCAAAGTGCTTATCAGACCTGCCCTCCCCTCAGACAAAAAACCCTGAATATTTCTGTTTACTTCATTCAAAGAGAAAAGGCATCGACATTAGCAATGGCGTTTCAGTAACTGCCCTCCCTCAACTGGTCTACAAATGAGACCCCAAAAAACAACAGACCAAAAAAAACCCAACAAAGGTAAGTTTTGTTATTCCATTGGAACTGTAGGGGGAAGAAGTCTTCAGCTCTAACTTTTCAAAAGTTAAAAAAAAAAAAAAAATGGACAAATATTACTGACATTAAGACATTTTGGTCCTGATATAGTGTGATGATTTTTTTTTTTTTTTTTTAGAGAAGCTGTTAAAAAGCTGCCTCTCCTCTCTTTATGGCTTGAATCTCTGTAGGAAGGAAGGAGGCTGCCCATGTGTACCAGGGCCCTGCTAGTCCTCGGCAAGCTTCAGCGCTGTTCCTTGGGGATCATGGTGCGGTTCGGCACATCAGGGCACTCCTGGCCAAATGGCTCTCGTTTCCTGAAGCTATCAGTAGCCTGATTTCCTGAGAAAACAAGGCTAATGAAGGCAGGCTGGCTACCCCCATCTGGTGATGATGATGGTGCAAAGCTCCTGTGATGTTCTCCCTTAGCTAAACAGCTCTTCTCCCTGCCAGGTGAGGTATCTTTGGGCATTACAGTCCCTCTCACATACCATTCTGAACATGCACCTGTGAGATCTTCTCCTAAAACCTAAATTACGCCTTCTGGCCCCACAGTGCTGCTTCCATTTATTTTCAGTGATGAGACCCATGAAGTAAACCCGAATAAAATCAAAATATCCCTGAATCGGCCTGCCCAAATTCCTGGATTTCCTTTGACCTTGGGGTCAAAACATCACTTTAACAAACTAAGAGCATTTGAGTCAATTCTGCAAGACACTGAACTAAACTAGGTCCCAGTGATGTCACCAGGAGTTGGAGGGTGCTCGGTGCAAGCCAGGAATAATTAAGACCTGGAAAAAGTATCCCATGAGCCACTGCTTGCCTTTAAGTCATAGAGAACAAGACAATAAGCAATTTGGTCAAAAACCTAATTCGTAACCACAGGAGGTAAACTCTGAAGATGAGGAAAGGGGAAAAGCATCCTGCAAAAATTGATGAAGTAGTACTGTATGCTTCTGGATGCACCAAGAATTGAGCTGGCAGGTAATGTGAGTTTGGGGAACATCTTAACACATTACAGATTTCACAGATCTTTAGGGACTTAAAAAAAAAAAACAGATTTGCAGCACAAACATGGACATCTAGTAGGACAAGCAGAAACCCTGCTTGCTATGGCAAAAGAAGGCTTTCCTGTTCATTTGTCCTTGCAGGCAGAGGACTCTGCTCAGGCCAAAATTTACTAAGATTACATCATATGTATTCATTTCCACTTGCATGGTGACTGCAAAAGATTTGCTTTTTAGAAAATCTGACAGAAAAATCCCTGAATTTGCACCATTTTTAAAGGCACATGAATAATAGTAATAAAAAAAAAAACAAAAAACAAAAAACAAAAAACAAACAAAAACGTGAACCCAGAAACCAACACAAAAAAACCTAGACAACAGGAAGAAAAATTGCTTTGAAACCTGTCCTGATCAGCTGCTGAAAGGCCAGACAAGGGTTTGTTGTTTGACTTATCTGGGATGGTTTATAAGAAGCCAGATTCTGCCACCCAGTGGAATAAGGAAGATAAACTCAATTTTCATGGCAAATGGGAGCAGAGAGTGGCCCTAGGCATGGCCGTAAGGATGCATTTGGGTTGTGCTTGTGAGACTGGCTCTAGCACTGTGCAACTCATCCTCCAGGCCAGTAGGCTGGAAATTAAAGGTGAAACATGGACACTGGTGTGAATTAAATATTCCCAGCACTTTCAGGCTGCACTGGGAGCAGTGCTCCTCTTCTCTGGCACAAGCTAAAATCCCACTATTTTTAAAAAGAATTTGGGAAAGCGAGGCACTGAGAAATGATGCACTGTATGCAGCAGTAAAGATGGAGCCCATTGAGCAAAGCTCCTCATCCCTTGGACCTGACGCTTTGGCCTTCAGAGGAACTGATCTCCTCTTATCTAAACACTGTAAGGGCCCCAGCAGACAACCCACCCCATCTACTGGTGTGAGTTCTTGGGATGGGGACTGCATGAAGACATGGAGACAGCAGGCACCATGGCAGTTTGAGAGGCACATGCAGGAGCTGAGTCCAGACTAATTCAGAAACGTGACCCCAGAGAACAGTTGTCCCACCTTGGTTACTGGCACCTTTGTATCATTCAGAATTGCATGGGGTTGAACAAGACTTGGGAGGAGACAGCTCAACCCTAAAATGATGGAGCCATTAATCTTGTTGCCCCTGTGGATTTGGGATTTAGGACTGCCTTGGTGCGCTCTCCTTCCAGTTGCAGTATGCAAACCCATACCCAGAAAACATCCAAAAGGCCCCAATCTATTTTTCCACTTCTCCTCTGCTGAGGTGCCTCCACAGAGAAGCGATTAACTGGCAGTTTCACGGGAGACGACTCCACGCACACTACTCTAAAACCAAGCAGACACACTGAAGATGCACTGAAGCGGCTGGTGGGACTGTGGTGGCCACATGTGTGCGTGGTGGCACGTGTGTGCCAGCCCGTGTAAACAAACAGCATCAGGGCATTGTGCTCTGGCTGTCAGGACGCACAGCGTGCTCTCAGCCATCCCATGGGACACACGGCGGCAATGGGGGCTGCAGAGGATGCCAGCAGAAGGATCGTTGCGGTTCCCCAAAAAGGCACCATTTTTTAACATCGAAAACACAAGATTGGCTCCTTTGAGTGGAATGCATGCATAGTTCATATACACTTTGCAGATGGTAAGTAGGCTCTGTGTGTATATATATATATATCTATGTATGTGTGCATGTTTATATACACATATGTGGCACCAGAAGAACAGTCTTTGAGTATTTAGACATTGGTGAGGATGTTACTGCTGAGCAGCCTCACGGCAATGGTTCCAGAGAGATCGTTTGATCTTCTGTTCCCCTTGTCCTGGAGGTGCAGTGTGTGCACTGACTGCCGGTCACTGGGATCCCCCGTGAGTACCACTTGGCCCAAGAACTCATCACTTATCAAGTTGTGGTTCCAGATCTGGAGGAACAAAACAGACGTGAGGGCAGGTCCTCAAAGGATGCAGCACTGGAGAGGAGAAGAAGTTATTGGGGACCTGCTCTGAGCTGGAGCCGTGAAGGTGGTCAAGGTGTGGGGGGTTCACCCTGTTACTGAGAGGGGTGAAGAACATGCATTCACCAAATGTCACGGCTCAGCTGCGGCGGTGAGAGGTTGAGCTGTGTGAACTGGTGATGCTCAGCCCTGGGGAACAGACCTGCTGTGGACAGTGTGAGGAGAGGGCAGTGGTGGGGGGGCCCAAGTGAGAGAGGGTCTCCATCGCTCGCCTCACTGCTCGCCTGATGAGTACCTGAACAATGATGGGTTGTCCTGGCTTCTTGCGGTAGAAGAGCCCTTTCACGTCAAATTCTGGAGACACTGTGTTCTTCTTCACTGGAGAGCGAACTTTTTGCCCTTCGCACTTCATGATCACGTAAGGGTCAGCTCCTGGGGAGAGAAAAGGAAATTTTTGCTTTCCTGTAGCCCCTGTAATTCCTCAGAGCCCTTTTCCAGGGGTGTCATGCAACACTTTTCCTCCATACCCCACCAGAGGAGATAGTTCATCACACCCCAGATGATGTCCATGAAGCTCAGCTGCTGGGCTCAGGCTTACTTCTGTTAGGTGACATTGCACCTGGGCAGCAGGTGATGATGGACTGTTATGAAATGGCCACCTCTTCCTTGACCCCATATTCTATATAAACACTCCTTCATCACTCCAAACCCTCCTGAGCTTTGAGATGAATCTTTCATGGAAGACACTGCCCTGCTCAACTCTCCTTTCAGGATTTGCTCTGCTGAAGGAAGGCAGAAATAAAGCCATGGAGAATAGAAACAGGCTCACAGAGGTTGTTTCATACAAGGAAACACCAAGAAGGCAAGGGTCTTCAAGCTGAAAAAACCCACTTGCTTCCACTGAGCTCATTTACTCCCAAGCCAGGCTAACCTTGGCTTTACTTTAGGGTGATAGAAAACAGCAGGAATATTCTTTTCACTCCTGTGCACAAATCATTGGCACATCTTCCTCCTAGACTTAGTGAGACTCAAATGCTGCAGGGGTTGTCAGTATAACGACTAATACTGGGGTAAGAAAAATGTTGGTGGTCAAGATGATAAGAGATGTCACAATGCTGAGCCAAAATTAAGTGGCAAGATATGCTAACTTATGAGATCAAAATATTCGCCCATTTGAGCACTGGGAAGGTTTGGTGAGCAACCAGTGAATGGGGAACCTTAGGATGGAAATATATTTTAAAGGCTTTTAAAGAGGTGAAGATGATTCTTAGAGTATTTGCTGTAAGAATTCAGGTAGAAGATCAAAATGTTGAAAAGGATTACTGGTGGCAGTGAGAAACATGGGAAAGAGAAAGATGGGGTATTGAGGGGCAATCAGGGGAAATGAGTGGGAAGTGGAGGAGAAAGTGGGAAAGTTATTGCAATATCCCAGATGGAACAAGACAGTCATGGGGAACAATCAGGCTACAAAGCTGGAGAGTAAAATTACCAATTTCACAGACTACCAGCCCACAGCTGGACAGTACCTGGAGAAGGAAAGAGTCCCTCAATAGTGAACATTTTCCCCTTAGGAAACAAGTGCTCATTTAGGGAATTTCAGTAGAGAATGATCTATTGCTATGGAAATTTAACTGCCAGAATACATTTTCTTACCATGAGCTCTAGAGGTTATGATGGAAACATAGACCAGGTGGATGAATTTTCTTGTCCAAGGGAAATGTGGAAATAAGGAGGAACAAACCACCCGCTCTGTGAGGGCCAGGGATTTAAGAACCACATCTCTGACTGCCAGATCACCTCCTCGCTAGCTTTCTGTTTGCAAGGATCTGGCTCCCCTGGTGAGACACAGCTGCTGGATTTCACAGCTGTTTTTCCAAACTAGCCTTGTCTTTTGGGATGTCCCATTAAATCGTCATATTCCATCAGCTGGAGCCAAATTCCTATCTGTAAATCACTATTTCCAAAGTATTGTGGAAGGCCTGGGCTGGGAAATGCGAGAGATGCCATTGCATTGGAAAGCATCAGACATGCAAGCTGTTAGTGGTGGGAGGTGAACAGCTGGAAAACAGCTGGAAAAAAGCCATTCCCAAGGGCCTCTTGTTGAAAAAATGTTTTATGGCTCCAGAATCCTTGTCTGAAGGAGAGACAAATCTTGTTTCTATGAACGGTTCAGAGACCTCTGGCTTCAGATTTCCCTGCATTGCTACAGTTACACTGAGCTATTGTGAGTAACCCAAGAAAAAACAACCTTGCCTAAGGAAAAGTTCCCTCGCCAAACACCAGACAGAACAGAAGGACTCCCTTTGTGGCATGTGATAAATAAGCAAATTGGGCTAGTCCTTGCCCTAAGGAAGAATTACTTTCATTACTTTCAAGCTCTAGCAATATGCAGTCCTGACAATAATGCTTGGGTGGGAAAAAAAAAAAAAAGTAAATTTTTTATTTAGATTCTTTTTAAGTTTCCAATTTTTATACTTCAAATTTGGCTTGAAAGTGCCTGGCTAAACCTTGCCAATTCAACATGGCCTTGACTCAGGAAAGGCTAGGATCTGGTCCTTTCCCATGGTGGAAAGGCATTTGCTTCTCTAATTGCAACCTCTAGAAGTTGACTGAAGTTGTCTGAAGACAGTTTCAACTATCTCCCAGTACAAGGCATCACTACCCCTAGGTTTCTTGGTCCAGATGCCCCAGTAGGACTAAACATGGTGCTCTTGCCCTGAGCTTCTGCGTGGCTGGAGGACAAGGTGAGGCATGGTGCTGATGCTGTCTTTCATGCAAGAGAAGTGTTGGATGTCAAAATTGCATTAGAGCATGGTAGGACCATGAAAATGAACCTTTAGAGGACCAAGGAAGCAGAAACACAGTGCACTGTGCTGGTGGTGGCTCAGGTCATGTCAGTGGGCTCCTAGGAGCCAAGCATGGAGCCGGACTTACAGGAAATAGAGGGAGAAGCTCTCAATCCACACTATCCCCAGATGAGCTAAATTTGACCTACCCTCTACTGATAGACATTTATTCAGACTCCAGTGATGAACAGTACCCCAACACATCAGCCTGTTCCATTGCTGCTCTGTTCTTCATACAAACAGGACTTTAAATAAGATTCCTGACTTTTACAGCTGCTCATACTCAGGAGGAAAGCCTGTATTGTTACAGGACCACTGCTAAGGGCTTTAGGGAAGATTTGGGAGGATCTCCTGAGAATCTTAGACAACAGCCTAAATATAACAACTCCCAGAATTGAGTTTGATTCTCTATGGACTTTCTCCTCCTTTGATGTCTGAATCGGGCATCTTCACTGAAAAAAATATCTGAGGACATAGAAAATCCCAGCAACCTCCCACCCCATGAAACCACCTCACTTTCTTCCCACTGAACAACCACCTCCCAACTCCTCCGGGACTAGACAACAAGCAGGGAAAGACCAGTACCTCCTTGGGAGTCCTGATTTTTGAGCCCGGCTGCAGCAAGGACATGGATCTGGGATACCACTTGTGGGTAACCACACATCCCACTCCAGCAGGTGTGTGCTGGCTCATCCAGCATCAGCTCTCTGCAAGGAAAAACATACGGCCTTTGAGAGGTACTCAGCCTTACTCCATGAGAAGGCCAGAGAGTTTGCTCTAGCAGGATGGAAGGACTGTGCACTGTCCACTGTCAGACTCTGCTCCCCACTCCGATGATCTCAACCTGGGTTTGGGATGCTCTCCTGTGTCATGCTTAGGAGCAGAGTGGGAGCTTCTCTGCATGTCCTGAAACCTATAAAGATGCTCTGTCTCTTGGCCACCCTTAAAAGAAAGTCAAACACCAGCTCCCGGCAAAGCTATGACCAATTCCAATCATGAAAACCACATGTCAAAAGCACAGGGCTGCTTCCAAATAGCTAGGTCCTCCCCACCCCTGCTCTTGCTCCTTACCGGCAATCTGAAGGCACATCCGTGAAAATCCTGAGAAGGAACTCGCCTACATGACCAGGGTCAAAGGTGGTGGGGATGATGACGTAGCGGCCTTCCTTCAGGTCTGTCCTCAGGAAAACGCTGCGGGAGTTGATGTAAATGGAGCTGGCCACCTTCTGCTGCAGGGTGTGCATCCGGTAGTTCCTGTTCAACTCCACCTGGGCAGAGACCACAGCGGGATGGTCAGCAGGACAGCACTGACTGACAGTGTACTGGTATCCACCTTGGGGGGGCCAGACTGCAAGGACTGATCCCACAGTGCTGGGAGAGCTGGAGTTAAGAGAACCAGCAAAATGGTCCCAACTGGCCTGGATGGTAAACAAGTGTGGATGTGGCTCTCCCAACTCTGTTGGCTCAGGGACTTGTCTCTTGCATCCCAGCTTGACACTGGGGGCCCAGCAAGCAACACATAAGGATCAGTCTAATGGATTTCAACGACTGGAGATAACAGACTAACCAGTGCTTTTAGCAAGGAGAACTTGTCCATGCTGCCACTGTTGACCTCTGAAATCTCTTGTCATCTCTAGAGGGGGCAGGCTGTGCTGAAAGCACCCCAGAGCACCCAGATAATGCTTAAATGAACATTACCAATCGTCACGCAGGACTGATGTACCACTCCACCACTAACAAATTTATGGGGTTATTCAGGCCAACATGCATGGTCTACCTTATGGATATCAAAGCCTATGGCCAAGTTCTCTCCTTTGCCCTCTTTGCGACTGGTCCTTTTTGGCTTCTGCTGGATGGAGATCAGCACTTCATCTTCTGCCTTCTTCACATCAAACACGTACTAGAAGCAAAGGGAGGAAGGTAAGGAAGGACTTCTACTACGACAGAATCACTGGGCATGGGTGGGGGTGGATACACAGCAGAGTTAACCTCAGCTTCTCCTCATCCACCTCACTGCAGGGACAGCCTGGTTTCAGTACCTGCATTGAGAGTCCATACCCACTCCTCTTGGGAACTGGCAACATCTTGCCAATCCAGAGACCTTTTTGGCTCATCTTAGAAAAAGACTGGGAAATCCAGTCTTCAAATTGCTTGGCAGAATCCAAGGAATCTAGATGCGGTCTCATACCAGAGACTTTCACCCCCTGTAGTCTGACACAAGTCCTCCTATGAGGCATGGAAGGAGAAACTGATGTTCACAGACACCTGAGATGAAGGCTAATACAGAGCTGGAAGCAGGCAACAGCCCTGATGACAACTCCTGCAATGGACTAGACAATCCTTCATCTGCTTGTTAGATGAAGGACTCACAAGAGCTTGTCTCATGTTACTCAGAATCCCAGTTCACAGGACAGGACAGAAGAACTTGTTCCAGGAGATGAACTTCAGAGCAGAGCCTTTTCTGAAGGCCAAGTTTGAAGGAAATGGCCCTACAGACTACACCTGTCCTGGTAAACTTAACAGTGCCAAGATTTGGGCAAAAGATCTGGAATTTCATCATTCAGACATCCAAATTGTCTGGTTCCTGGTCCTGTTTGACTGGCACCAGCTAACACTGCTACCCTGTGGCACAGTTTTCTGTTTTCTTGTGCCAAGATGCTGTACACCAGGCACTTGGGTGCAGTCTCTCTGGTAAGAAGGATAAAGTTAATAGAGTTGGCCTGGATGCCAGTCATGCTGTGCCAAGAGTCTCAGCCAGAGAATGGCTGTGAGCACATTTAATATACTAGAGGTCTGGTAGCCATTTTGGCTTTCTAGGTCCCTGCAGGAGATTTAAACACTTGGAAGAACATGCGAAGGCTCCAGAAGGCCCTCTGCTCCATGACTCACTTGGGGATTCTGCAAAAAGGTGTCCTTGTGGTTGATACAGCCTCCACAGCGGTTCTTCAAGGGGTCATTGTTTCTGGTCCATGCCCCATGTAGCACTGCCTCCTCCCAGGTCTTGTGGATGCTCAGGTAGGATGTGTTGATGAGACGGCACTTGATGATGTCTGTGAAGTATTTGCAGAAATCTTCGAAGGTCATCCTAAATCAGGAAAGGAGAGATCTGGGTTATGCTGCTTCATTCCCCTGAACAGTATGTTGCAGGAATTTTCTTTACCACCTGTGAGAGACCATGTGTGGGTAGCCTCTAACAGCTGATGAATAACAAAGGAGATGGAGATAACATTCTCCATGCATGCAGTAAATACTTCTTCTTCAGTTTAAACAAGAGAGAGCTATGTGTTTTGGAGTGGGAGAGGCAGAGTAGTGGTCCTTCCTCCACACATGGGTCTATGTTGTACTGAAACGTACCTGCTGAGGCTGGTAAATTCAGCATATTCATATCAGGTTCCCAGTAACCTGGTGAAATGGTTTGGGCCCAGTGTGATACAGAGCAGCTTGCAGTCCTAGGGTCATGGCCATCCAAAGCTAATACCTGTGGACTCAAGGAGGAGGCTTCACTAAAGATCCTAGGGCTTGGAAGGACGTTTGCTCTGGATAGTTGTATGCATGGAAATGACTCACATGCGTCATGGAGGAATCTGTTGGCAAAGCCTGTGATGACAATCCCATGAAGGACTCACCAGAACTCTCCATCATCTTCCACTGTCATCCCCATCTTCTCTCTCTCACTTTTACTCACTTTCTGCCACTCCTCAGACCTGTGGGAAGAGTACAGGATCATTACTGTGAGGGCAAGGGAATACACAAGAATTCAAGAGGCTACTTGGCCTTGGCAGAATCTGTCAAGGGCACAAGGCCTGTATAAAGCTCCAGCTATGCAACCAGTCCCTACACTGCTCTGGTTAGCTCATCTTCCAAACACAGGGGGAGTGCAGCATGGCTTGGAGCTTCAACTTCCTTCCTGACCAGTGGAGCTGAATCCAAGCAAGATTTTGTTTGGCCAGTATAATCAAAACCCTATCAGTGAAGAAAACAAAATGGACTCTGGCCAAAGGCTTTGGTTACACCAGACCTTGGTTCTTTATCCCATCCACAGACACCACAGAAGTCAGTAGTGGCAGAGGCTGATTCTGTTGGGTGCTATTTTTGCTGGAACAAGACTGGGAGCAGAAAGGTGAGCTATAATCATCCTTCACTAGTGTGAACATGCTGACAATTTCACCACAACACCCACCAGAGCCTTAATGAGAAGGTCTTCCAAGATCAGCCACCCTCCTGCTGACCTCCAGGGACCCCAAGGCAAGGAATGAAAGAGTAGGTTTAAGACATGGGTTGAAGCAGCATCCCACAACTGCCCATACAGTGTTATCCTATGGGTGTGGATGTAGTCAAATTGTCTCATGTCCCAAGGCTTGCTCCAACCCAGCTGTTCCCATCAAAAAAAGGTGCTGCTGCTGCCCATCCTAACTCACGTGTCACTCCATGGGCCATTCCACTCCCGCTCGCCCCACGGGTTGCGCATGCGGATCATGTCCAGCTTCTCTGACTTGAAGAAGGACAGCAGGCCATGGCCCAGGCGGACCTTCCGCACGTCCGTCACTGCGTACGCGTGGCCCTTCACCAGTCCGCAGGCCAGGCGGGCCTCCATGTCAGCTGCTGATGTGGCCTGGGCAGGGGGACACAGACAGTGCTCGTACCAGGGGGACGTGACCGTCTTTGCAGGGACTGGGAAAAATAGGAGCTCAGATTTCCCTGCAGGTTTCTCTGAGTCAAAAAGAAGAGCACCAATGCTCACTGAGAAAGTCAGTTGCCTTGGCATATACATCAGATGCCATTTTAGGTGTTAGATCCTTCCTGGTCTTCATCTGCTACATGAGGTCTCTGAGCTCCCATAATGTCAACCAATAAAGATCATTCTACTGGTTATAATGGGAGGTCTGGCACCCAGTGTTTGTATAGATGTCCACATGGAGACACCAAAACGCCTTTTTCTGGAAGTGAATCCTCTCCTAATATTTAAAGGGTGGTGGGATGAATCTGGGCTCTCGGACATAGCAAGATGGCTGGCATCGAGGCTTGACTCCTTTTGCCATCCACAAGAAGAAGTAGGAAGCCTTGACCACAATTTATCTGATCTAACTTAGAGGGCTCCATCAGTGTAAGACAACCGCATCCTAAAATTCCTATTCCCATAAGACTGTGACCATACAGGTAACATTGCTTACTTTGATGGAGCAGCTGATGAGGCCTCCCCGGTTGTGCACCTTCAACACACGCTCAAAGAGGAGGTTTCGCTTGGCTTCATCCGCAATGTAGTCCCCTTCAGTCAGGTCAATAGGTTCAGAGACCCCACCAGTAAAGTCTACCAGGGCATCAGCTGTGTTGCCTCCATCCAGGGCCTCATAACAACCTGACAACCTGAAAGAAGATGACAGGGATGGCACAACAACACTGGCTTGATGTTTTAAGGGTTCTGGGAAAGTTCTTGGGCAGCCTGAAGAACAGAGATTTGTAATAAAACTTTCAGTGGGTCACAACAGCAAACTAGGGTGAAAAAAGATCCATGCTGCTTGCAGCAGTCTTGATGTCATAGGACAACGTAAAGGGAACTTGAAATCTCCAGGATAGGTGTTACTTAAACGTGGAGTTGGAGGATATTTTGCCTTGAGGGTAAATTAAGGCTTGAACAGGTTTCTTTCTTACAGTTCTGTCTGTCTGACATATGTCCTACTCCTCCCCAGGAAAGCTGTTGTTTCCTCTGGTGAAAACCAACTGATGAATGAACAGAGAGGAAAAACAGGGTGCCCAGGTCCCAGTTTCTCCTGCAGCTGCCTGGGTACCTACTTGGCATAAGCTTTTTCCACCAAAGCACACCAGAACTCGTTCCTGGAGTTGGAGTGGCAGTAGATGAGCTGGTTGTGGAGTGTGGGCAGACGGTCATCTATCACCACGTCCAGCCACTGACCAAAACGCCAGAACTGGAAGTGGAAGATTCCCATGTAGCTCTCGGGTTTCTCAGGATTCCACTCCTGCTCTTTCCAATCCGGGATGACCTGCAAAAGAGGAGGCATATGTGCCTAGGTTATTCCCTTTTTTGCTGGTTTTGATTCTTATCCTGGAACTAAAACAAACAGTATCAAAGACAGGGAAGAATATGAGGGGGATGGACTTGCTTGCAGCCTGTTAGGGCCAGATTTTGGACCTGGTTCCTCCAATGCAGACTAGATTAACGTGTACTAGAATAGTTTAGATTTCATTGCACCTTGGAAGATGGAGCTAAAGATCCTTGTCCTCTTATAATTCTACCCTGGACATCTGCTGCCATCTACTGCTGTAGATAGGCTATTGGAGCAGAAGAGTCCTTGGTCTGATCAGGGATGGCTATTTTTATAACATTTTTGTTCATTTCAGTGTCAGTAGGGTACCAATAAGAGAAGGCACCTTCTTTGGTTCTCTTACCTCATTCTGGTGTGACTTGACCAGCCCAAGAGAAAGTGTTTATCTACCTGGTGGCAATGAACAGGGACCAGACACTGTGTATACACCTACTCTGCTAAATGAAAGTGGGAAAAGTGCGATCCCCATCCCCACAAGGTCTCCATTCTTCCCTGTCAAGAGCTACCATACTCATCCAAGCAAACATGGGGAGGTGGCTTGTTGAAAGAAGGAAAAGAGGGCCTGAGGTGAAAGAAACCCTAGAGCAGCTGAGGGGATGAGAGAGCGCAGGTTTGGTGTCACTGCCATCTGCACTGGCAATGAGACAGGCACAAGCAAAGGGTAACTGTCAAAGTCCACAGTCCTTCATGACTGTGGGCATCACCAGCTTTGCTTTGAATGGAAAATCCACCCCACTGTTGGGACAGAAATGGGCACAACCATGCACAGATGCTACATCTAGGAGGATCTGCATTTTATTTAGAACCATGACATAGAGACACACAGCAAAGAACTGCCCCACCACAGCTTAGCTTTTGTTGAAGGTGAAGGCAACATGGCTTTACTTCATGGCCAGGGTGGGCTGTGAGGCCACGTGTAGTTAATGTAGTTGATAGGTGACAAGTACTGACTGATTTAGCTGCAGTATTGTGATCGACTGTCCACACCTTTACTTCTTAGCTGCTCCCAAAGCAGCATGACCTAGGACAGGAAAAATCCCATTGTGCATGCAAGGAAAATTATGCTCCAATGCACCAAATAATCACTCTCCTGTGGAGACAGCTGTGAGTGTTGGGGTGGGATGGGATAGGACACGGCTACATTGAAAGGAAAGAGGCTCTTCAGGAAGTCCCAGGCCATGTGAGACCCCCTGCACCATGACTTGGCCTTTGTCCAGCTGCTGGAGCCTTCTGGAGGTTTTTTTTTTTGGCTGCTGTCATGAAGCCATAACCCTGCAGAAAGACTTCTCTCTTGAGAGCCCCCCGAATCCTTACCTGCCAGCAACGATCCAGCCCAGGGCTTTTATTGCTCCTATACTGAAATATTAATGATGCCATCAGCCCTGTGAGCTCACTGGCACTCTTGAGTTGTCTGGATCAATAAGAGCAGAGCAGAGCCATGAAAAAGAGCTGCTTTTGGAAGGTTTGGTGTTTTCCAGGAGTGCTAACAACCATGCCCCAGACTCCCTCTGGGAAAGCGCCAGAAAAGGTCAGACAGCCCTCCATCAGTCCTCATCGATTCCCTCCTGACTGGAGCTCATCCTAATGAATTGTCATAGAGGACCATTGTGCTAATCAACTTGCTATTAATGCGGGCTTAGAAATTATTACGGCATTGATTAGAGGCAGCTTGTCAGCCAGAGCTGGTAGAGACAGCTTCCAGCTGGCTGGTTCTGAGACTTGTCATTACTGTCAGTGGTGGCAGGAGATACCGGTCCCCAGCATCCTCCTCTGTCCCTTCATTTGGGGACAGCGCTGAAAGCACCCTCAACTGCTGAAGGTAGCAAAACCCATCAGCCTCCATGCAGAACAGGACCCAGGAGGAAGAACTGGTTGTGCTTCTACAGTGACCCAAGGGGAAGTGAGAGGAGCCTGATCTCTGGAGCCCAATCTGTCCTCAAGGTGTGAGCTCAAACACCAGGTTCTTCCCTCCAGCTCCTTCCCCCCCAGCTCCTCCCAGAGCACAGCATCCCACCCAGGCCAAGGATCCCTCTCCATCTGCTTCACTCCCTGGCCAAGGTGTCTGTGACTCCCCTGGATGCAGGGGAGAGGTGGCAGCTCTAGATGTGGTGCCTGCCAGGACACCACACTTCAGGGCATACAGCACAACCCCTGCTGTGACCTGATGCTGCATATTACCTAAAGGATTAACCTGGGGCATATCTACAAACCCCAGCAGTAGCTGGAGCCCAGATCTCTCCAGGAGATCATCGTGCGACTGAGGTCCACGGCTCCCACCCACTCCTGGGAAACCTCCCCAGACATCTCCCTTCTCAGTCGATGCTGGAGAGCATGTCACACACCACCCATCCCAGAATACCACTGACTCCTGGACTCAACCTTACTGTGTGACACTGAGGCAGTGGAGACCATGTCTCCTCATTCACCCAACTGTGCTGCTTTTCGCTTAGGGGCTCCCAAAATCTGAAGTTGTAACACCCTTTAGTGGGACAAATTTACAGTGAAAAGGCTCAGAGACAGGTAAACTGGGAGCCCAGGAACACCAGGTTCGTTTCCCTAAGCTGATTTAGGGCTTTTCTCATTTTTCTTAAGAGTGCCTAATTAAGAGGAAAGGCACATGTGACCCTGGAGAAATGTACCTGATTAGAAGGAGGAATTGGTAAACGCTGATTCTTCCAAGCAGGGGCTCTTCTGCTAGGAACTTGTCAGCTCAGGAAGGGGAGGGAGAAACCCCGCTATGCCAATCTGCTGAACCATGGTACAAACCAGGATGAAATTCCCCTGGCAGATGAGACAGAGTGGTGTATCTTAAAGCCTTCATGGGATGCTGAAACCGTGTAGGGAGAATTTCAGTGACTGGTATAAAGAGGCTCATCTTCCTTGTGGCAGAGAGAGATCACACCGCCCCACTCCCCACCCCCAGGTCTGATGGGAAGAAGGATCCACCTGAGGATTGTTTCCCCTTCTCTGATAAGCTCCAAACCCATCCCCCCACCCCAAACCACACAAAACTGCAAAAATTTCTATTAAGCCTTTCACACCAAGAGAAGAGAAGGTAAATGTTCATTTTACTTTTTACAGGAGATAAAGAGGTGCTCAAAAATACCAACAGTGAGTTGAAAAGTGGTGGGTGCTGCTTTATTGCATGCAGGACTGGGGCAGCTTCCAAAAAGAGCATGAAGAAGACACGCACAGCCTCAGTCGTTAAGGGGAACCCTGTTAACTAGGATTTTATTTACTGTGATACATCAATACTCAGCGAGGTATCTGCAGCAAGAACTCCACCCCAGCAACGAGCAACGTAGCAATGGCATACTGTGAGACCCGGCATGCAAAAACCCCTTTGGATGTTAGCAGTGGCTCCTGTTATTTGGTCTAATCTGGTTGGTAGTCAGGAGCTCTGCTTGGGGTTGTACAAGGAGTGGTCTCCTACGGGAAAGTCTGCCAGGACCCTAGAAGTGGGTTTGAACCACAGTGGGTCCACACTATGTCCAAGCAGGGATGCATCCACTCTTATCTCTCCTCACTGAGTCCAGCATTTCTTGGGATATAAACAAAGACGTAACTTCTTTGGAAATGCCCATGGCATGGCTGTATGATTGTTGCTGAGCTTTGGTTGTGGGCAAGACCCAAAACTCCCACCATCTCTCCAGCTAGTAGCTGATCTTCCTGCTTTCCTTCTCCTCTGTGTTTGGTGGATCTTGTGCATATCATGTTATACACTGTTGTTGGGCTGAGCAGGGCATGGAGTCTGCATCTCTGGAGGCTTTGAAGAAGAGGTTGGACTCTTTTGGGGATGGTCTGCACAAGTCAGCAAGCCACGGGTACAAAATCACCTGGCTCTCCCATCACTGCCTTCCCCCTACACAACTCATGAAAATCTCAGGCCATACCTTGCACCCACGTTTGAGTGCAATCATAGCAAGGGACCAACTGCAATAATACTTGGCTCTTTCAAAGGACATTTCTGGCTGTGGGTCTCAAGAAGCTTCACCAAAGTACCCTCCAATTTTTGGTGGAGGAAAAGGGAACATCTGAAGTTAGTAGTTTATTCACAGTCACGGGACAAGCCAGGCACAAAACATCCTCCTGCTCCTAAACTGGCAAAGGTACCATCTCTCCTCTGCTCCCACAGCCACCCAGACACTGCTCCCTGCCTCGGCATTTATAGAGGGTAGGAGATACTGCTTTTTGGGGACAGCAGCAGTAGGTTCTTTCTCTGTGGTTTGCAAAGTGCTCTGCAACCTCATGGCTCTCTACAGATGTTTCAGAATAAATATATTCATGCATGCTTTAAGGCCATGACAATGCACAGATTGCTTTTGTTGCAGGGGACTCATTGCTGGCTCAGACCTACAGCCTGCCCTTGGCTGCTGGCTTGCCTTCCCAGCTCTGCACACACATGCACATCTGCTCCAAGCCATCTGAGGACCAACAATCTCCAGGCAGCACAAGGAGAGCAACGTGATGGAGTACACCTCTCCACAGTGACCCCCAGCAAGAAATGGTGGCAGCTGCTAGGAAAAGGGTGGTCCAACCTCCCTGCACCAGTTTGTCCAGTGGGTTTGCCATCTGCAAAACAGCATGTCCAAATGTACTTCAGCTTCACAGCAAGGTGATTCTCCATGGGACTGGTCTTCAGAGACACCAAGCAGCCACAGTCACAGCAGGAGTCACTGCAGCCTGCAGGGAGAAGCACTCCATCACAAACAAACCCTCCCTTTTTAATGATTAGGACGGAAACTGGAAGCCAGGGCTCTCTCCAGGTTATCTCTCCTGTTTCTAGTATGGCAGTATCTTATTTTTCCTTCAGTCTTCTGGTATGCCATTGCCACACCTGGAGGGCTTAGGGCAGCCTCGTATTTCCAAGCCTGCAAGACCCTGTGCCAGTCAAACCTGTTGAATCCCTGCTGAATTCACAAGCACGCAGTATTGTACTCTAGGAAAATACAGCCGCAAGCTCATGGCCCCCTCCTCCCCATCATTCAGAGGACAGCACGTATATGGACCATTTCGCAGGGCTGAGGGGCTCCAAAGCGTTGAGCTGTCCTCCACTTTTTCGCGATGCCATCCCTCATTCAAAAAAAAAAAAAACCCACAACCCAAAAACCACATAAAAACTGAACAAAGAACTGAACTGAGAGAAAGAAAAACAAAACCAAAAGCATAGCTGGAGCAAGAAGGGCTGAGCAGGAGGGGGATCAGGCTCTAAAAACAATGGAGCCCTTCAGCTGAGCTGGTTTGAGACTGTCGGTGAAAGTGAGGAGGAAATACATCACCTTGCGGATCTGGGCTAACTCCGCTATCCGCTCCCCAAATTCCTGGGCATCTGCCTCATTGCACTCCACCTCCTTGGCCCCTGCCTTCTTCCAGAAGATGCCCACCGGCTCTAGCAGCTGCCGGTTCATAAGGTGGGTGAGATCAGGAGTCCAGTGCTGGGAGGTGCCGGTCACTGTGACCTTCCCAGGTTTCTCCAGCTGGATGTTCCAGCGGAGGAAACGCAGGTTGTGCTGCCGGATGAAATCCACTCGGTAGACGTGCTCGTTGGGACGCAGCAGCTTCTCGCCGTCCTGGGGCCTCATGTTTTTTTGCTGCAGGCTCTGGAATCGCAGCCGCATGCACCGGGTGAGCTGGTCATCGCGGATGAAGGGCAGCTCGAGCATCCCTGCCTCGGCTGCCATCGCCTCAGCTGCTCCTCTGCTGGGTCCTCAGCGACGTCTGGCTCTCAAACAGGACACACAAGGGGAAAAAGCCACCAAGCCCCCGGAGCTGGTGCCCCCTCTCTACGGTCCCAGCAGTGCTAGGCAACTCGGGCCAGTGACGCAAAACACCTTCCAGGGCTTCCTCTGGGTGCCCTCCCGCTTCATTTGCAGATTAGGAACTGATGGTGCTGCTGTGCACAATAATCTATAGGGAAGGATGTCTGATGTCAGCCTCCCTGGCAACCTCCCTGGCAACCGTGGCTCGTTATCCCAAAACGAAGGCCTGCAGTCAGGGATGCCACCCAACAGATCTGGGTTGCCCTGGCTTTCTCTGAGTGTAGGCTCATGGGGTAATTCATGTTGGAAGGAGACTCTGGAGGGGGTCTGGTCCAACCTGCCGCTCAAGGCAGGACTTACTTCAAGGTTAAATCAGGTTGTTTGGGGCTTTGTCCAGTCCATCTTTAAGTATTTCCACGGATGGAAATCCCACAGCTTCTTTGGGCCCCTGTTACAGTGTCTGACCATGCTCATGTTGAAGATAAGCTGCATCTTGTGTTGTTGTCTTTTAACCTGCGACTCTCCATCTCCAGCAAGAGTCTGGCTCTGTCTTGTCCTCCCTGAAGGCAGCAATAAGCTCCCGCTTCACCGTCCCTTCTCCTGGGTACATAAACTTGCTTCCCTCGGCCTCTCCATTTATGTCATGTGCTCCAGACCATCTTGGTGGCCTCCATCAGGCTCACTTCAGTCTGTCACTGTCTTCTTCTGGGGACCCCAAAACAGTGCCCAGATGGGGATTAACAAACACCAGAGGGAAGGAATATTTTACCTCACCCTCCTGGCTGCACTCATGTTAGTTTGGCCCCATGTGTGCTTGGCCTTCATCTCTGCAATGGTGCATATTGGACTTAGTCAGCTTGTCCCTGAGGACCCTGTGTCCTTCCCTGGATGGCACAGCTGGCAGGGGTCAGGCTCCACACCGCTCCTGCAGCAGTTGGTGGGCACCAGCAGCTCAACATGGGTCTGCCCGCCTTCAAAAGGACCAGCCTGATGTTGGAGAGGGTGTTCACACATGGGCTTCACCTTAGTGTGCCTGGGAAAGGGGAACTCGGGTACAGTCTTCACCTTAACGCTTCTTTCTTTGGGCCGGGTGGCGAAGCAGGTCCAAGATGCAATCAACCTCCTCCCGGGCACTGTATGGATGCTCTGAGCTCACATGAGCACCAGCAAGACCATCATGCTCAACCTGGAACCACTCATTTCCCAGCAATTGCTTGGCACAATTAAATCCAGAGCACTGGCACTGTGCTGGTGGGTTGTCTGGACAGTGGGTGGGATGAAGCGGAGTGGTGAACACTTTCCTCTTTGCGGGGTGCTGGGTGGCAACATGAGGCTCCAGACTCTGAAGAGAGGTGCCAGGCCAAGCCATGACACCTTCTACCAAGTGGCCCCATGACACAACAGCTAAACCACAGACACAGTTTTAGGTTTAACATGGAAAAAGAATGTTGGATGAGCCCAATTTGAGTTCTCCCTGGACAGCAATCGGACTGCACAGCGGACAACTCACCCCTTAGGCAGGGATGACTCTCAATGTTAAGAGATATTAGTCATTTAGCTTAAAGAAGAAATTTTTAAATTAATCACTTGGAGTTATAATGTTGTGTGATTTAGTATGCTGTTTACTTTGATTTACTCAGCACAAGTAGCCAGATTTGCTGAAGCTTTAGGTCACAAGCTCTAAACTTTCACCTAGGCTTACTGAACATGCACCTACTTAGTCAAAACAGAAGATAAGGAGGTTTCAAAGCTACAACCATCAACAGAAGCTGCAACTAGACAAGATAGCAGTCTGTCTGAAGACAGTGAAGGAATCCAATACAAGGTGAGAAGATCTCAGACCAGAATCACTGTTGGGGTGTGAAGAATGTATGAGAGGCAGGTGAATAGTCTGTAAGGGTATAATTGCTCAGGGATTTCTTTGTTCAGGTCCCCCCCATTCTTCTCCCTCCCTCTCCGGAGGCACCCAGCTCAAGTTGTGCCTGGACACAAGCTAAGTGATTAGTAGTATGCTAAACCTTAAAATCCTAAGTGATATAAAAGATTGATTGTGCACACATAATCCTTCAGGCATAAACCGCTGACCAAGTCTGGGACTAAGTCTGGATCCATCCGTACCTAAGCTCCTCCCCTGAGCAAGGGGGTCCATTCTAAACCTTGTGACTCAACAGGAGGGTTTCCTTACCCTTTGTATCTCCTAGACATAAACTGTTGACCAAGTTTTGGACTAAGATTGGATCCAGCTGCATCTATACTCCTCTCTGAGAAGGAGTTTAGAAAGCAAGGGTGTCCATTCTGAATCTTGTGACTCAACAGGAGGGTCTCCCTTACCTTTTCATATCTCTGATCTCTGTGTGAATCATTCTAAATCAATTCTAACTCAATTTTCCTTTGTATGTTTCTCCTATGTAGTAAGTAATAGAGTGAACCTTGACACTGAACTCTGTTAAGTCACACTTTTACAAATTCTCTAAGTGATCTAAAAGACTCGTCCGTGAGAGCATCCCATCCAAGACTGCCCTGTGCTCTTGAAGCAACTGAGGAGGAAGGAGACCAGGCTAGGTGACGGAGGTGCAGGGTTGTCTGAACCACTTGGCTTCAGAGCCTGGCCCCTGTCCCTCATTTGTTGAGCAATACCAGTGCAACCTCTGGAAGAACAGATATAAATCCAGACAACTGTTTAGGACAAAGTACTGCTGGAAATTATTTAAATGCCTCCATTTCAAGACCTTAATGTCTTTTCATAAGAGCTAGACACCTCAGAAGGGTCACAGAAAGGGTGTTATAGAGCCAGATCACACCTAAAGCCATGTAGGGTCAGCCAAGTCTCGGGAATTTAGAAAACAGCTCTAGATTAAACTCCAGTACCCCATTCCCACTCAGTGACTCAACCAACACAGGCTTAATGGGAAGTAGGGACATGGAGGGAGCCTTGGGGTGAAGTAGAAGAGAGTGTGTGAATAAAATAATCTCTTGGGATATACAGGGATGTGCTCGCTCATCTTATTCCCTTGAAGGTATTCCCCCTCCCCACACTTGAGAGAGACAGTTTCACAGTGTGGAGCAAGGGACACACAGAGTCTAAGTTACATCCTGGTGTAAATCAGTGTTACATTTTCTAGGAGCAATGGGAAACCTGGGACAAGATCCCTGTACGCATAGTTCTGTGATATGAACACCTCCCTCAGCATCTTTCAGCTCCTCCTAGGGCCTGAATCAGAGATGTTTTGGTGTCTAATGACAATAAAACTAGGTTTTAAACCAGGTTTAAGAATCTAGTGTCTTGCTGCCTTGTCTGTCCTCTCAACTGTTGCTTGTATCAGCATATTGAACAGTCAGGACTAGAGGTTTGCCCTGCAGGCATTAGGTCCGATGTGCAATGTTATCACAATTGCCTGTGCAACTGTACCAGGGACCAAGAGGTCCACTATTTCTGGACCAATGAAGGGCTCTGGGATCTTAGGGAAGGACCGTGCTCTAATCCTAGCACACCCAGCAGAGCTGGTGTCTCTTTGGACCAAGGGGTTAATCTGTGCACTCAATGTCTCCCATTTTGCTTTAAAAGTTGCTGCTGCGGTTTATAGCCATGCTTACTTCTTGCAGTTCATCACACGCTCTCAAAGCACCTTGGAAAAAGGGAGCAAAGGTCCCATCTAATTCAAAGGTCTCCAAAAGCAGGGGTGTGCTGAAGAATGTCTGGCCAGAGCCCTGAAGTGAACACCACAGCAAACTGAACATCACTGGGAGGGAAGACTTGGGGATAGGTCTGCAGCTTGTGCTTTTGTCAGAAAACAAACCCTTCTGAAAGAAAGAGGAGGCGGGTAAAGAAGAGCCTCTGAGAGTTAAGGGCATGGAAAATGAGAAGTCACAAACACCCACAGCCAAATTGCCAAGGGAGGAAAAGCGATGCCATTGGCAAACTGAAATAAGGAGGTGTCCACAGGGACCCGGCTTCTGTTCAGTTGGTATTTCCCAGGGCAGGGCTGCAAGTGAATGGTGAGGAGGGAAGACAACTCGCCTGCTCACCCCTGGGAGAGATCAACACTGAGGAACAAGCTAAACAACCCCTTGCACCATGCCTGTAACGAGAGCCACAACAGTCACCACAGCCATGATGGGAGGAAAACTTGCTGCTCACCCAGACACCAGCAACAACTTTCACAGGACTGACTTCTTCTGGGGCTGAGGACATGATGGAGATGGGCACAGACTGTCCAAGGATGTGGCACTGAACATCTCCTCCCCTCCCTGTACCTCTGTGGCTGCTCCCTGGGTCTGCAGCCCCTTGCTCTGCTGCAGCTCCTTGGTGACTTTCTGGCCCACAACACAGTCCCTTTGTAGCCCACACTCCAAGGAGCAGTCCAGCCATGGGACACGCCAGGGATGGATGCTGTGGGGAAGCAGCGGCTTGGGAGAAATACTAATACCCTCAAATCGCCCTACCTGCCCCAGCACAAGGTGTCTCATTGCCAAGGTGGGCACACACTGGACAGCCAGAGAGGTGGCACCATGGGAAAGAGGGAAACAGGACCAAACACTGCAGATGAGCATCCTGAATTTTGTTCTTGTTGTTTTCTTTAGGTTATTTTGGAGTGTGGAGAGTCAGATTTGGGATCTGGAGTACAGGATGGGACTTGATTGACTTGATTAAGGAGAAACTGGTCATGGGTTTGGTTTGAGTGTGATGTGACTCTAGTCACAGTGACTAATTCCCTTTGAAAGATAGTCCTTTAAGGAAGGTTTTTGCACATGAACATTTTTCTGGGCCTGAGGCATCCCCGAAGAACCAGTTTTTGAGCAAGACAAACACAAGTGAAGCCAAGATGTTGAAAACAGGCTTTCCACAGGCATGGGAACCTGCTTACCTTCTGCCACAGAGACTCCCGTGATGCCAGGGAGGAGCAGGCAGCCACGAACCAGCAGTTCCCCACTTGGCCCTGGTGTAAATCATGGGAGCTGATCCCGTCCACAAAGAGATGTGGATCATCACAGATTTCCTGTGGGACAAGAGGAAAACAGACACGTTGGGTAAGCGAGGAGACAGGGAAATCAGGAGCAGGGCTTCTTCTCAAAGGAAAATCTCTTTCTCTCTTCTTCGGGCTCCATTTAAATCCCACCCGCAGCTTTTTGCTGGCCTCGCTCATCATGTTGGTGGCAGGAAGACCTTGTCCTGCCTTTGACTCTCATCAGGACATGGGCAGCATCACTGCCAAAGCGATACCAGACCTATTCCCTATTCTGTTCCAGCGTCATCACAGCTTTGCTATAATTATCCCTGGTGATAATGGTACGTTTTCACACCATTACAGCCTTAGTGACCCATCCCCTCTTCTAAGTCCACTCTTTGTTATTTCTCATAAGCCTTTCAGCTCTTTCAACTCCATGACTGCTTTACCAGCTTCTCCCTCTCTTATTTTGCTCTGGAGAGTGTGACAGCACCACCTAAACCCACTGTCTCCCATACTGGAACTTGTGAATCTATCCAAACATAAAACCCTGCAGGAGCAGGGCAGAGCCAGTCATTTAGATGAGGAATTGCAGTGCCTAAATCAGAAAGTTCACCCAGGAAAGCTCGGTGCAGATTGAGGGCTCAGCCATGGTTGCAACAAGCCAAGTGTCCTCACCCAGGAGGTCTGTCCTTCCAGATATCAGCACAGCAGATGGAGAAAATTCAGTGAGCCAAACGCTTTGCAGCTGGGCCAGGAGAGTTGAATGCTTATTCTGACACCAAAATCAGCATGGTGGACTGTGCACATGTACCATGAACAGAGAAATGTGGGTAGAAGGCACCTAGGAGGTGAGCTCATCCACATCGATGTGGCACCAACCACATCGCCTTTCCTCTGCCTGGCTCCTGCCAGGCTGCCCTCCCTTCTTTCCACTCCCACTTACAGCCTGGCCAAGAAAGCACTTAAATAACAGAGGGTGTTGAGCAAGCTTTGTGTGACATACTGCTTTTTGTGGTTTTTTGTTTTTTTTTTTTTAATTTTTTCTCCTGATCAATCCAGTTTGGAAGGTCACGTCCAGCTGGAGGCTAGGAGCAGATGGGACTGAAAAAGAGCTGAAAAAGTCCTTTCCCCTTTGTTACTACGTTTAATTGGAAGTGGGGAAAGGAAAAGCAGATTTTCCTTCCCTCCTAGTTTTCCAGGCTGGCTGCACCCAGAATAACATGTTCCCCCAAAACTTTGCACATGAGGATTTGCATTGCCTCTGCCCATCGTGGAGAGGAAAAGGAATTTGTAAGCACGTCCTGCTATTCCCACCTAACCCAGCCAGCACTGTACACCTTAAAAATCACCTGAGCTCCATCCAGACACAAACTCGGCAGGGATGAAACCCAAAGGAGAGAACTAATCCCCTTTCAGCTGCAGGCATTGCAGGAGGTTGGGCTAAGCGCTAGAGGGAGGCAAACTGACAGCTACCAAAGGCAAGAGCCACCTGAGCTTCTCAGCATCGCTGAGTGCAGACAGCACTGGGAGAGGAGCAGTGGGGTTTAATTCCTGCTCCATACTGCCAAGGAAGCACCCAGGAGCAGGGGGTGCATCCATCCTGTCCGTTGGTGATGGGGATGTCTGCAAGATCAGGTCTTAGTGATCCTGCTCTGGGGGGCAGAGGCATTGTGTTTGCCCCATTTGAGGACCACAGCTGTCCTTTCTGCCTGTGGGTGAATCTGCAGTGCACAGAAAAGGAGTCGCTTGGTATTATGTAGACAAGGGAGAACATGAAAGCATGAAAAACATATCCTGCTTGGCAGAAATTAGCACAGGGTAGAAGCTGTCAGATGCTCAGGGACCTTTCCTAAGAGCAGAGCAGTCAGTTAGCTGTGATTTCCCCATCACCAGGAAAGAGTTTGCCAATCAAAACCCCATGGTTGCTGATTTTAATAGAGAAAAGCCCTGTGTACTCGTCAAAAGAGAAGCCTGGCCTGGCAGAGACAAGTGGTGCAGCTTATTGGACCCCACTCTTGGACCCATGGCAGCAACGAAGGTGTCACGGCTGGAAAGGCTCATGCCAGGGCAGGCTCTCTCCGCAAAACACAATTCTCATTTGACTCATCTTCTCTTCCCACTAATGCAGATGGGTCCCTAAGAGCATAGTGTTCTTGAAGGATTCATTTAGGCAGCTCTTCAGATGCTGAAGTAGGCATTTCCCATTCGGGTGCACAGCTGGATGTGGCGTTTTAAGGTGCTTTTGGTCCAGCATGGTTGTGGCTGACAGCACACACTTAGCAGCCTGTGCACTCTTTAACCTCCTTCCCTCATAATGTACAAAACCCCATGGCAGTTGGCAGCTGAATTGGAAGTTTCCTAGGAGCACGAAGGTTGCTAAATGACACAATCCTTTGCTGCGGCAGGGGGTGACAGCCTCTCCCTTGACCCAGGATTTTGCGCTCCTGCTGCCTGGAGATGCATCAAGCCTTGGAGAAGGAGTGATGCTTTGCACAAGCATCAGCCCAGCACAATACACAGGCCTGGCTGGAAGGAAACACCACGTGAGCGCTGCACAAAACTTGTGCAAATCCCAAATTGCTCAGGGAGTCTTCTCAGGAGTCTACTCTGAAATGCAGAGAGGGGCTGCCATGCTCCCTTGCAGAAAGACCACGCAGCACCCTCAAGCCCTAGAACTGAGCTCTGACTCAGTGGCCTCCCAGTGACCCTAAGCACAGAATCACCAAATCAATGCAGTTAGAAGGAACTTCTGGAGATCACACTGTCCATCCCACCTACTCAAAGCAGGGTCAGCCAGACCAGGTTGCCCAGAAGCATGTTCAGACAGGTTTTGAGTATCTCCAGGGATGGAGATTCCACAACCTCTCTGGGCAACCTGCGCCAGTGTCTGGACCACCCTCACAGTAAAAAAATCTTTTCTCATGTTTAAATGGCATTTCCTGTTTTTCAATTCATTGTCAGTGTCTTTTATTCTGTCATTGGACACCACTAAGAAGTCTGGCTTAATTTCCCCTTGAGCCTTCTCTTTTCCAGGCTGAAGAGTCCCAGTTCTTTCAGCCTCTCCTTGTTTCAGATGCTCCAGTCCCTTAATGGCCCTTTGCTGCACTCGCAGGGGGGAAGGCAGCATTGACTCCTTGCTCTAACATTGCAGAGCTGATCCCATCAGGGTAAGACTCATCCACGGGTCAGTCTCCCCGTCAAAACCTCTTGACAAGGTTTCCAAAATCCCTTAGACTGAAGCTTCCCAATATTAAATTATTTGGATCCTTCAGTCCTCACTGAAGCTGCTGAGCTCCCACTCACACATTTTGGACCCGCTCTAGACTGCGTGGCCTTCAGTCCTCAGGGATGACATTCCCTGGGTGCTCTGCCTGTACTGAGGTGGGAGCAAGGGATGAAGGCGCTGCTTCAGCAAGGCTGCAATGCCCCCAGGATTGCACGGAGCGCAGCGGGACCCCGGTGTGTGAAGCAGCACCTTCCAGGTACAAAGCACACTCAGATCCATGAAGCACCATGCCCACATGGTGGGTGATGAACTAGAGATCAGAGGAAACTAGGTCAAAAAGAGCCAAGAAAAGCATTTCCTTTTTCCTGAGAACAGAGCTGAAAGAGAAAAAGAGCTTGTTTTGAGGCTCAACTGAACTACAGGGCCTGGGGTTTGCAAGTGCAAGGGGAGGAGAGAAGCAGAGATGCTCTGATCATTGAAGGTCATCACCTTGGTTTCCTCCCCTCCCTCCCGTGCAGCAGACAGAAACCAGGTGAGCAATACCATTTCCCCAGGTGGGCATTTCTCCAAAAGGCAAACACCACGTCACCCTCTCAACACCATGACCCTGAGAGAAGAGGGCAGCACACAAATGTGCACACCCACACACACCCCAGGGACTGTGTGTGTTCAGGCATTAGCCACCACAGAACCTGCTCAAGCTGACCCGTGGCACCCATGGCTTCAGCAAACAGTGGGTCCATCCTGTCCTTCATCTCATCACAGCCAGATCCTGGATCACGGCTGCTCCTAGTCTGGACACAGATGGCGAACAACAAGAAATAGCAGTGGAAATACAAAAGCTATGGCTGCAGGGAAGCTATGCCATCAGTGTGTTGCTCTTAACTCCACCTTGGCCAAGAGAGCCATCCGTGCCTCTTCATCCCCAAGGAGAACCTGTCTTGGAGGATCCCAAGGATTCTAAGCATCATCAGAGATGATGTGATCTCCCTAAAAGTGCCTGCTGAAACGGCCATTGAGCTCCAGGCAACAAAATACAATTTAGGGAAATACTGTGTGGATGGTCCTATGGAAAGATACAGCCTGATAACACAGGGAGGGCCAAACTAGTGAGTCAAAGTTCTGGTGATTCATATACTCCTCCCCACATCCTTCTTCCTGCAAGGGATGTGGGACAGAGGTGGAAGTCTGAGCCAGGGCTGGGAGAGGACTTTGAGGTCCCTGTTGATGAGAGCTGATTGGAGAGGTACCAGACCTGGATTATGGGAGCCCAGAATGGGCCAGTTTGCTCCCTCTGGCTTTGGGTTATTGAAGTCCATTAAGGAAAAGAAGACCTCATCAGTCCAATTACCTTGCACTTAGTGATATGATTTTGCTTCCCACAAAAAAGCATGTGGGCTTTTCCTCTGCTCTCCCCTTCGGTACTCTTTCCCCCAATACATACATTTTCCTTCCAAATGCATTTAAACCAGAAAATATCACCCTCGTCTTCCACAGCTAGTCCAATTCTGCACCGGGTAGTAATGAGCAAATCACCCTCTAATTGGCTTTATAATTGGTGACTGTCTTATCATAAATGTTTCCCAGTGCAGATCTCTCAGCTTTAGATTCACCGGGGATCTGGATACTGTCAAGCCAGCTGCAGGAGGGAAAAAGCTAAGGGGGAAAATAAGCATGTGAGATACAACATCTGCTGCATGCCAGGATCGTTTTTTGCTAACAAGATTTTGCAAGGAGCAGACTAGTCTAATTGTATTGCAGAGCCTGGATGTTTCAGGAACAATGCTTTCACTCAGACTTGCAAAATCAGCAAGATAATCTA